GGGGGATTTGTTTCCTTCTTCACCGCTGTGTTGTCTTTGTGATCTGTTGGTGTAAGTGCCCAATCTGTACCTTCATTGCGGAGCAGGGATGCCCAGTAGGCAGCCTGTCAGGATACCAGGGTGTTTTGTTTGTGTGTAATCCCATTAGCTGGTACTCAGGGTTGGCACTGCTGCGTGGAGCTTTTTTGCCGGGACAGGTTAGCGGTATGTGATGGCGTGCTGCAGGCTGCTTGTGTTGAGGTGCGTCTCACTGCTCATGGAGGCCGCCAGCACAGGGCATATGGCGTGGCCTGAAAGCGAATTTCTAGCTGAAGGAAAAGAGCTGACAGGCTTCAAAGAATTTGTCACTAGTGGTAAAGGTGAGGGTCATTCTTTAATGTGTCTCAGAAACTGTTTAGCTTGCTGGAGTGGAATTAGCAGTGACTCCTAGTCCGTGCGTCCCAACATGTGGTCGTGAGGGCAACATTGTGCAGTAATGCTTTCAGATCCCTTGTGTAGCAGTGGCAGCGTATGGTACCATAGCACAGAGCCTTTTGTTTTAGAACAGCGTGAGTACTTCAGCCGCATGAATCAATAATTGCATTTTATGTAAAAATCATAAAGCCATTTAAAATAAAATAAGAAAAGGACTGTTTAAGACGGCACGCTAGAGCAAACTTGTACACAGGGTTTTACAAAAATTTCTTCTCTTAATCTTAGGAAAAATTTTTGTGTCTTTGAGATAAGTACAGTCTTCTGTTTAATACATCAAGAAGAGTGTCACAATATATTTTAAAAACATTTGAGACAACAGGAAATGCAACTGTTTAATTAGATGTTCTTCACTTTTTAAAGGGTTTACACAGAAATATATTATTTTAGAAGTTTAAATCAGATGTGTAGCTTATTGGATTTAGTTGCTGTCTGAAACTGCCCACACACGTGGTAGTTGCATGCTTGATTTTTCAGCACGAGATGATTCTTCTAAGTGAGTGGTAGGTCTTTGGTGTCATGCAGGTGTTAGGCAGCAGTTGTTCCTTTGCCCAGGTCAGGTGTCTGTCTCCTGGTCTTCAGTATGTGTGCTGCCTAAAAGCAGTGCAAAAGCAATTATTTGCTTTGAATTTTTGCAGCTGAGTGACACTCAGTCTTTGGCTCAGAGGCTGCAGCTCCGAGTTCCCTCCATGGAGTCTTTGTTTCAAAGCCCGTAAAAGGAGTCCCTGCTCCGCTCTTCTTCTAAGGAGTCCCTGTTCTGTTGTTCTTCCAAGGAGTCCCTGTTAGGCGCTGATTCGAAAGACTCACTGAGTCAGCTGGACTTGGACACAGCTGGTCGCAACCTTGGTCTGCGTTCTGACACCAAGAGTGAAACAGAAGAGCCTGTGGGAAACGCGGACAGCCTCAGCAAAGAGCAGATGCTGCAGCGACGGTGCAGTTGCAGGGGAAAATGCTCAGAGGTAGGCAGTGTTGTGAGTGACTTAGGTGGGCAGAGAGGGGAAAAAGATGAGGCCAACAGATACTGCAGTAGTGGCTAATCTTTTTCTTTTCCTGTTTGGAGCAAATTAAACTAAATTGTGCAGTTACTCCTGAAGTCCTTATGTCGGCTTACAATGAGAAGTGTTGTCCGCTTCCAGTCTTCCTTTGCCTGCTGGGTATATGCAGAGCACACGGAATGAAAACATTTGTTATTACAGAGAGTTGCTTTTTTTCTAGAGTTGTAAGGGTATTTTTTAACATACACTCACTGTAAAATTAATTTCACTGCAGCTGTCTGGGATGTGAACCCTTACAGATGTACACCCCTGTAGGGTAGCTGTGTGGGATGTAACTTTCTCATGCGGTTGGTTTTTGACAGCCTGTGTTGAAGCATGGATCTTCTTGGAAGCCTTTTCAGTGAAGGGAAAACTGTGCATGAATGCTGAATGACCTTATCGTTTTGACATGTAGGCTTTATTTTTTTAAGACATTGGAGATATGTTCTAAATGGAAGAAGGAAACATTGATTAAATTTAAGTATGTTTGTGTCAGAAGAGCTTTCTCAAATGAAGAGTTTGAAAATGCAGATAGAGATAAAACAAAGCAATTTATTTTGATAGCTATAAGTGCATGCATTATCATCGTTATACCCGATTTCTGTTTTTTAGCTAGTGTCTGCTTATCAAGTTATCCAGTGGGAGAAGCAGCAGCTACAGGTAAGCATTACTTTTTATCCTCTTAGAATGTGTAGTGCGAATAGAGATTTAATTCTCAGTGCATTGTGTGTGTGTTTACATAATACGTTGTGTATGTATATGTGTGTGTGTGTAACAGAAGACTCCTTAGCTGTGATTTCTGAGGAATAAGCTAATACTGGTTTGTCAAAGTAACGTTGAAGCTATTGTGATCCAGCCTTTTGTTGTTGCATCAGCTGAGTTTAGGTGATTGCCAACCCACAGTTGGCAGTTTATGATAACCCACATTGAGCTTGACTTGAAAGAAAAACACAAGTCGTTAATTCTTTTCCTGAAGCAGAATTCTGTGGATTTATTTATGCTTCATGTATAAAGTTACATTTAATATACCTGATGTTTATTCTTTTTTATTCTAAGGCCATTCTGAGTCAAACTCAGGATAAAGCATTGCGCAGAATTGCAGAACTGAGAGAGGTAATTTACTTTTGCTGACCTTAGTTTTCTCTCGTTAAGAATAATTCCTCAGCAGCAGTCTTTGAAGTTCTCCTTGTCAGACAAGGATCAGAAGGGACTTGGGGACCCAAAAAGACTATTTCAATGTTGATTTCAGTAAAACTCTTTGTCACTTGTTCTTGCACTGAGCTGCTTTCCTTGGCTTGGACGGAATTGCTTCTAAAGCTCAGAAGCGCAAGGCAGAAGCGTGATCCGTAGCTGTTGAGAACCTGAGGCAAGGCATGGTTACAAAGTGGATATAGTTACTTGGGCAGAGAGAGGCATAGTTTTCCCGGTGACAGCTCCCAGCACTGTCCTGCCTGCGTGGCTGGGCAGGCTCAGCTCACCCGGCTGTGGATCTCAGAGCTGGTATCAGGCTCTGCTCTGGCAGCCGGGATTCAGTGCTGAAGGTAAGGGGTAGGCAGCAATCTGGCATAAAAGCAAGATCTGGAGTTAGAGGGAAGCAATGCAGGAAGCATTTCCTGCCTCGTGTTTTGTCTCTTGTTTGCTTTTTCATCCTTTCTGTGGTCCTTTATCTTTTCCTGGCTCACAGAAGCCACGTTTACGGGTGCCGCTTGCTTTATACAAGCGATCTGTGCAGAGCAATGGTCGTAGGAGCATTCATTTCCTGGGTAAATCACTGGGAAGTTATATATGGATGAAGGAAATATTGAAGTTAGAAAAAGAATACAAG